CTAATCTTCGAAAACTTAAAACCTTATAAAAATTTGTTCCCCATAGAAATTTTGATGATTCAAATATTCGATGGAATTAGCATTTTTTTTATTTCTGGAGATTAAGTGAAAGAAAAATAAACAAAAATTATTTTTATGTTTTAGAGCAAAAATACTGAAATATATCTTTAAGGATTTTTACATTGAAATGCATATGTATTATGTATTATATATATAAATACGTATGTAGGTATTATAGACACACATAGCCTGTACCACAAACAACCCATGAAGGGTATTGGGTTTAGAACACAATGTGAGGAAGTACTGTAACAAAGCCAACAGTCGTGCAGGGAGTTGACGGGTCAATATCACGCTCAACCGCCAGGTTTTCCCTATTAATTAATTATTTAATTAAGAGTAAGCACTTTATAGAGCCTGGATTTGACCCAGGGTCGACCCACGGCTGATGAAAAATTACTAGTCTGCAACCGGATTTGAACATTGAGCTCTGGAAGTCAGTGCTCACACACAGAGCTGATAGAAACATATTTTTTTCAGTATTTGAAAGTTTATGCTATTAAGTAAATATATTTAGAAAGTAAAATTTCTTTAAACGCTAACATGATGTAATCTAATGTTTCACTCATTCTTTCGATTGTCTTTCAATGCTTGAAATTATATCGCTTACGTAACAACTGATCATAATTTTACTAACATCGAATATTTGTATTATATTAGATCTCTTCATCATTCTTATGCATTTTCAAACACACATATGACCTAAAGCACACCCTTCAATAAACTGTTTGTCTTTCATGAATCTTATTTTAATTTTAAAATATCTGCTGCCAACTTCAACAGATTTCTTTTATCTTCCAATTTCCAGGCCGACTTCAGCCACACCCGAATCCTAGAGTCCAAACCTACACAACTCTTTTTTCGGCTCTCTGTTCTCAAACCTGCCTAGTTTAAATTTCAAATGTAATTACAGATCCTGGAGAAGAAAGAATTCCTTTGAAAGGCTGCCTAAATTAACCGGGACTGCTTTAGAGTCGCTTTTGAGGGAATCCGAATTTCATTGAAATAAAAAATAATTGATTCGAACAATTGATAAAATTACAACTTTTTTTTAAATATAGGGTAAGTGTACCAGTGATAGACATAGCTAACATTTTTTTTTTGGATTTTTTGGCTAATATTGCTGTAATTATTACAGTTATAAACTTCTCAGTTGGATACTTAGGAATCTCTAGAGTCTCCCTTTTCTATTTAGCACTTTAAAATTAAAGAAAAAAAAGTCAGTCATGCAGTTAAAACTCCATTTTAAAAAAAATATACCTTTTACTAGTTGAGGACACCCAGAGAAATTCAATTGTTCTAGTAATGGACAGTAAGTGGTCGGTACCAGTAATGGTCATACCTCAGAAAAATACAAAAATCATTATTTAACTATAAAGATAACGATAAAGCTAAGACAAGATAAATGTCCAACTTACTCTTAGCAATATTATTCGTAGGAAAGTATGAAACACACTGATCTCAAGAGCAGTACAGAAACAACAAAGATAGGTATTTTAAAATTTTTGGGGGGAATTTTTGTTCATACAGTTGTCAATAGAGGGCATTGTTCTTTAATCTATAAAAAACTGGAACCTTTTTGTTTACATTTAAAGCTCAACCTGTCCATAACTGGTGCGTTCTCTCTAGTTTGTCCAAAATCGGTCTTGGTCTTGCACTTTGCGAGACTAAGACCAAGTCCGCTTAACTGTTGCAAGACCAAGACCAAGACTGGTAAAAAAAAAATCGATTTTTTTAATAAAAATTAATTCAGATAAGTTACTAATACTTGAAAACCTTAGTTACTGTATGTTAATAATTGATATAACTAATATACTTTTGCATTCAACTCCTCTAATTTTTCATTGGGCTTAGTTAGGTTTATCCTATCTAAAAAAATACAGTAATACCTCTATAGTAATAAGCTAATAAGTAACTGCAAGACCAAGACTGAGTTTGCAAGACCAAGACTCCTCTCGTTCTCGCATTTGGGCAACACTAGTTCTCTCTCAGAGCTATTGTTTTGTGAAAGATCAATTTTACGTTTGTCTGTTGTTGCTTTTTTAGTTTCATCAGATTTAAATACACGTTTTTACAATAAAGTTATTAATAACTTTAAAAAAATCCTTTGTCATGGTGCCATCAGATAAGAGGAACGCCTTTCACTAAGGACGCTATTAAATGACTATTATAATACCTGTCCTGTATTACAGAACTCTTTGAAGAACACGTAGTTACTTCCAGAAAGTGACGAATCCGCGATAACTCTGGGGAAGTATCATCAAAATTCCTCCCGCGAATCGCGAAGTACGTCGAATAGACAAGAGTTGACGATCTCTGGGAGTTATGTGCGAAGACGCCCTGTTGTGACAAGCGGCCTACAGCAATAACGTGTTGGTCGGAGAAAGACAGATCCGTCGAATCAGCTTCGCCCTTTTACAACTGTTCTAGTTACGACGTGGTTCGGCTGTCCAAGCACTTTCCTATACACTAAGAATTTTTCCGTTCTGTCTTTTCCTGTATTTGTTTTTGTTGATATTTTAGACACATAATTTTACTTTCAATCGCATTATTTTACCAATATTATAATCGAGATCCAATAAGAAAAACAATATTTTTTTTTTTTAATTTTTATTATTGAAATCTAAAACTATATTAAATGATAAATACAACAAGGAAATATGAAACAAGTAACATGACGTGTACAACATGAAGAGAAACTACCCATTGGTAGCACTCCAAGTATATTTCTATATTAGAAGGTCCCGAGGTCATCTTCTTTTCAGACGCCTCAGGAATAGAAGAGGAAGCAAGCAAGGTTAGAAACGAGAGGGTTCGGATGGTTTAGAACTTTATTATGGAAGGATAGGTGTCTGGATTGAGCTAAATCGGAAACATATGGGACGTTAAGGTCGTTATGGATGATTTTATTTGTGACAAAGTAGGGAGCATTGAGGATTTTACGAAGGATTTTTGATTATAGGGATTGGATACAAGAGGAATTTGATGATTTAGTAAAATCCCAAACAATAACTAAATACGCAAATATAAGTTAAATTTCGTTATTTTTTTTTCTATTTCTATTTTTTTCTACGCAACTATCACTTACGAAAGCAAATATAAGATAAGAAAATGTGCCTACTATCTCCCAGTCCAGCAACACATCTTTTAAGCCTTTATATATTTTCTTAATTCAAGACATGGTATTTTTCATCCACCTAAACTAGACAAAATTTATTTCAAATATAAGTAGAGTTTGTCTTTGTCGAAACCATTTAAAGGGGACTTTTAAGCTGTCTAAGCTAAGTTGTGTTTTTCATTTAATAATGGATTATTCGTGATATTTTTTATTATCTTGCAACTGCAAATACACTACTCTTATACAAACTCCCTTGTTTAATAACTTTAAATTTCATATCAATTTAATTGAAGTTTGTTGCAGAATAGAGTTGAGATTCACCTCGAGCTGTGATAAAAATTACGTGATTTTTCATTCTGTCACTCCATACTACCTGTATTTTCAGCAAAAATAACAGCTAAAAAATTATTATAAAGTTTTAATTCCATTTTTTTTTTTTTGTGATCTGACATCTACTATAGTAAATAACGTTATAAAATACAATTTTTATTTATTAAAAAAATATGTTAAAAAAATTATTTTATTTTAATTATTACATTGTACCATATGTATCAATTTCCAAAATAGACGTCTGCATTATAAACAATGGTTCATTATCACGTTTGATTTTTGAAAAAGCAATATTATTAATAAGTACTCTGGAGTGACAGAATATAAAATCACGTAATTTTAAACAAAATTCTATTCTGCAACAAACCTCAACTAAATTTATATAAGATTTATGAGAGATATAAAAGAGTTATAAGATGATAAAATACATCGCAAATAATCCATAGTTTAACGAAAAAAAAAATCTTAGTTTGGTAGCTCACAAGACTCTTTTACATAATCTTGACAAAGAAATACCCTACGAGTATTTATTATTATTATATTTTGTTTTATGCAATTTGCAAATGCGCATCTAGCAAATTTGTTGTGTTCTTATTGTCTTGGTGTAATTGCTTGATTTTTTTTATGTTGATGTTTTTATTGATGTAGTAGGTCTCTTGGCCATTTTCTTCTTAATCTTCGTTGCTCAGGTAACAGGGAGCAGGAGATAGAAAGAACCAGAGGGTTGGAGTGATTTTGAGTTGAAGAATGAAATGTAGTTTATTTGTCGTGGATGTAGGATTTTACTGTTGGGGTGTTTAAGTCGTTATGTATAGTAGTGTTTGAAATGTACCAAGGTGCGTTATCAATTCTTCGTAAAATTTTTTATTGTGCTGTTTGTATTTTGTTTATGTGTGTTTGTTTTGCTGAGCCCTAAAGTTCTGCTCCATATGTCCATATTGGTCTCAGTAAGGTGTTGTAGATAAGTCGCTTGCTTCGTAAGTTAAGTGAAAATCTGTAGTCCAGAAGATGTTCCAAGTAAGTCTTCTGTCTAAGTAGAGTCCAAGGTACCGTACATAGTTCTTTGAAGGCACTGGATTATTGGCAATCGTTATAGGTGGACATGAAGCTTTCCTAAGAGAGAAACTACGAGTATTTGGAGGAAATTTTGTATAGTTTAATATAAAGTAACTTTAAATAATCTGAATCAAATAGTTTATGTGTTATCGCTTCCTATGAAAGAGAAAATCTTACCACCTTTAGAGTAAATTGAAATTAACTCTTTTTTCGGTCGAAATTGGCTTATACATTAAATGAAATTTTTTTGTTAAAATTTTGTCTAGAATCACATCAGATGTTACTAATGAGGAAATTTTGCACTTAATATGAGAAAATAAATAAAAATATCGCTGAAGAGAAGCCAACGAGGTATTTCACTATTATCAATGCTCTATGAATGATGGAAATAATATTAATATCGATATATATGTATATATATATATATGCATAAACACTAATGATATAGATCGCAGAGCCGAAATGGGATATTAACAAGAGAGGCTATAACGAGGGGATTACAGGAGCTGAGCGCGGGAGGCGTGTGATTTCCATTGTTTGTGGTGAAGCGGAATACGGTTGCCGCTATCGCCCCGTACGATTCGATAAACCGGATTAACTTATGAAAACGAAACCTCGAGTCCGGTAGGGATATCGCCTTGTTGTGTCTGTGTCGCGCGTCATTCAACGTGTTCTGATAACGTAACGCTGTTTCCGCGTGTTTTCTCCTCGTTAGTGAATAAAAACATCGAAGCAATTTTCCTATTATTCTATTCAGTAGTTATAAATTATGGAAATTTATCACAATTATACTAATTTATATTAACTCCTCCACTTTTTCCAACAAATAACAGAATACGAATTTAAATAATTTTGAAGGAAGGAGATGGTCCGGGGTTGCGGTCATAAATAGGCTAAATAGTGTTAAAACTATTTTATTGAAAGCTGACGTTTCGAACCGACTTTGCAGGTCTTCATCAGGGAGGTGTGTTCATCTAGGAGTTTCACTTAGAACTGATCGCTCGATCAGTTCTAACATTTTTTTTTTTTTTTTTCTTTATGACATTTACAACTGTATTACATAAATACATCAAGTAAATTTAGACATAATTGATATAATGACATGAATACACTTGCTGAGTTACTACCCAATGGTAGCACTCTAATGATATGACTACATTAGGAGATCACGTGGCCATCTTCTTTTCAAACGCCTCAGAGGGTTATCAGGAATTGAAGAGGAAGCAAGGTTAGAAACGAGGGGGTTGGGATGATTCTGAAGTTTATTATGGAAGGGTAGGTATCTGGATTGGGCCAGATCTGAATCATAAGGAACATTAAGATCTTTATGGATAATTTTATTAGTGACAAAGTAAGGAGCATTGAGGATTTTACGAAGGATTTTGGATTGTAAGGATTGGATGCGAGAGGAATTTGAAGGTTTGGTGGAGGCCCACAGCTTAACTCCGTAAGTCCAAATAGGTCTTATTATAGTCAAGTATATGAGTATTTTGTAATTAATGGGAAGTTTAGAGCGTTTGTCTAGTAAGTGCTGAAGTAATCGGAAACGTCGAGCGGTTGGTGAATAACTACATCTCATCATAACCTACAACCTTTTTATTTACGAAAATTCTCGAAGTTGGTGTGTTTACAATCTGCAAATTCGCAAACATTGTCTATTTAATTGGGTACTAAATACTCGTAAATACCTATTTGCTTTCCACTAGGACCGTAGGATAATTTGATCACAAAATGGAAATTAAAGGTGCCCTATATTTGGCAGTTTAGCCTAAATAACTTCGTTATTTTGGCATGTTGAGAGTGGAGGTCACGCCGAACGGCGCTATATTTTTCGATGCCACTTTTGTTCTCGATTTTGTGATCAAATTATTTTACAATAATTACCTGTATATATTATTCGTGAAACAAATTTATAAATACAACAACTATTTTATTTGCCAACAATTTAGATATAGAAACTTTGAAATAAAATATAATAAAGTGAAATAAAAATTTAACTCGTATTGTGTTTTATACTTAAAAAATATATATCAAATTTTGATTGATTTATCTTTATTGATTCGCAAACGTGTCATCCTTAAAATAGTATATTTTCCTTAAAGTTTCGAAAACGGATATTGCAATTTCACCAAAAGATAATGAAAAGTTGGATAAATTTGTATAAACAATACAATATTAATTTCATATATAAAATACAATAGATATAACTTTTGTTTTTTTATGTAAATCTTTTGGAACGCCGAAATAAATCATTAAATTTCTTATCCTTATAATTTGGTTTTTACCACTTTTGTTCTCTGATGTATTCAACATTAACGATGAGGAAATATGAACAAATACGCCCTGGGCAAAATATATTTTGGCATCTATAAATGACTGAAATATGATTTTGATGATACATGAATTGGGTATGAAATTTATCTTAATTTTTTTTTAAATTTTACTTTTATTTAAACTGATATAAACTTACGTAAAACATGCTAATAAAATACACTACAAACTTCATGTTCATACAATGTCATTTATATAATTTATTTTTAAAAAATCAGTAGCAGCTGAAGTACATGAGTTATAACGTAAAACAAAAATATGAAAGTAGAAAAAAAAATTCTTTTATCTTCAGCGCGAATGCTCCATCTAATTTGCTAGTGGCTCTTATACAAAACCCATAAATACTAGCGCTGCTAATTAGTAATTATATTCCTGAATAGTTCATTTGGGACTTAATAAAGAGTTTTTAATTAAAAATATTCATAATGAAAACTGGGCTACTTTATAACACAAATTTTTACATGCTTTAGATAGGAGACCATAAATCGGAAAAAAGTCGTTGGAAAAAGAGTTTCTATAAAAGAATACAAGTAAAACATGAAGGGAGGGGGGAGGGGGCAGTATAGGAAAGAGTGCTTGCTATTGGCAGATTGATATGGCTAGTTCTGGAAGGTCCTATTTTATGTATCCAACGGCGAATAGCACTTGTCCTTTATAGTTCACTGCCACCATCTCTCCCATAAAGCCAGGACTCAATCGTAAATATTTTTATTATTCCCGTGTCGTCTCCGTCGGATGGCTACTTGACACCATTCTGCCAGGACGGTCCTGGCTGTAATAAATTGTGGATTTTGTTTTCTTTAGAATGGAAGGAGGTATAAAATAGGAGCCGTAAAGGTAATGGAGATCGTCTAGTCGATAAGAACATCATATCGACAAGCAACAAAAATATTCTATATAAATCTTCAACATATCTTTTAAAAATATTTTCTCACGCTCTTTACACTATATTCCAGGTATTGTACACTTTCTTAAAGGGTAATATTTTTTTAATTAAATATCATAAACAATAAATAATAATAATATGGCTTAGCGAACCCGAAGGTTTGATGCTGATACAATTCCACCAGTCGATGTCCACATTCTTCCATCCATCGGATATTAACTTTTTAGAAATTCTTTTACGTGCCCATTTTATTCGTCTCAACTTAATCACCACAATTATATTAACCGAATACAGTTCACGCAATTCAGCGTTGTGTAACTGCTTAAACTCTTCGGTTGACTCGTTCTTTTTCGGTCCAAACATTCTGCGGAATACTTTATTTTCAAAAACGTTAAGATGTTGCTCATCCTTTAATGTTCTTTTTTATTTTGCTGAAATTTACAACTGTATTACATAGAAAATACATTAAGTAAATGTGACATTGGTAACATGACATGTACAACATGAAGAGAAACTACCCATTCGTAGAACTCAAATTAAAGTTCTATATTAAAAGGTCCCGAGGCCATCTTCTTTTCAGACGCCTCGGAGGGTTACCAGGGATTGAGGTGGAAGCAAGGTTTGAAGCGAGATGATTCGGATGGTTCTGCAGTTTATTATGGAAGGATAGGTATCTGGATTGGGTCAAATCGTAAACATATGGAACATTAAGGTCTTTATGGATGATTTTATTTGTGACAAAGTAAAGAGCGTTGAGGATTTTACGAATTAATTTGGATTGTAAGGATTGAATACAAGAGGAATTCGATGGTTTAATGGATCCCCAAAGCTCAATCCTGTAAGTCCAAATAGGTCTTATTATTGCCATATATATGAATCGTTTGTAATTGATTGAAAGCTTATACTTTAATATAAGTGAACATGTTTCGCATCCATAAAAAAACTGTAGGATAATAATGATCATAAACAGGTTATAATAATAAAGCTTTAGAGAATCAGAAGGTTCGATACCGACGCCACCAATAGCTTTCTGATTCCCTAAACCTACTATAGTCCAAACACAACCTCATCAGGTCAGCCTTAACGCAATCTTCCCACCTTCGCTTCGGTCAAAGCTGGATTGTAATAATCTCAAGATATACAAGTTATAAGCTCACGCAATTCAGCGCTGTATAACTGCCTAAATTCTGTGATTGACTCATTCTTTTTCGGTCCAAATATTCTACGCAATACTTTATTTTCAAAAACCTTAAGACGTTGTTCATCCTTTAATGTAAGCGTCCATGTTTAGCATCCATAAAGAACCGAGGGTAGGATAATACTTATCACAAACAGATTATAATAATAATAAAGGTTTAGCGAACCCGTTCGATACCGACACCTCTAATCTACTTCCCTACATCCACTATAGTTCAAACACAACCCCGTCAGGTCAGCCTTAACGCAATCTTCCCACCTTCGCTTCGGTCAAAGCTGGATTGTTATCATTTCAAGATATAAGTTACAAGTAATAAACTCTCGCAATTCAGCGATGTTTAACCATCACAATTCCCCGGTTGACTCGTCCTTATTCGGTCCTAATATTCTACGAAATACTTTATTTTCAAAAACTTAATTAAATTGCTCGTGCTCAAAGTATGCACGTTGTGCATCCAAATAATGTGAAATGAATTCACATCACCATATATGGGAAATTATTAACTATTTTGATTCAGAATTTATTTAATAAATTGTATAAATTTATAAATTTAAAAGACTAAAACATAATGCTCTTTAAATTATTTATAGTCGTATTTTTCTCATTACCAAATTTTTCAAACATTTTTTCTCCTATGGCATGATATTACATTTAAATTCAGAATACATTTCATTGTTGATTTAGCATGTACAGAACTCTTCACCGGCCGAAAATCAGAAACTGGTCAGATGAAAAAATGACATAACAGGATTTGGAAGATATAGAACAGAAGTAACTACTTTGTTATGCAATTTAATAATATCTTCATATGTTGACACATAACATTACATACGATTCTATGAAAAATTTCAGGGAGACACTAACATACTCATAAACAATATGGACACATACTTAGTAACGTCCGTAAAAGGTTTAAGAGGAGCTGGGTAAGGGACCTATTCATCTAACAATTAATTTAGGAGGAGTTGCCACTGGGTATTACTTCGTATTATGTCATGCATTCTATCAGAAATAATCAATTACACTTTCGATTATGATTATAATTGTATGCAAAATGTATTTATCAAACAAAGTTACAAATTCGTAAAAAATATATTAATGAATCGAATCTTACAGTCCCCGTTCATATTCGACATATTGCCACAAAGCATTGAGTTTTCAAATTTGTTACTTTAAGATGGTGTCAACAATGTCTGTAGTATTTCAAAAGTAATAGCTCTTTTTAATGAATTACTTGATTGATCAATACTTGAGATCAAAAGTTTTTTTCTAAAAAAAATGCAAGGACTTTAAAAGGATATGATGTGTGGAAACTTGATATATTGAGGTTGAATTATATCCAAATTATGAATTTTGGATATTTTAATACGTATTTCAGAAGTTCGAAAGAAAAGATGAAGGAATTTGTTTACACCTTAATATCAATTAATATATTATTAATTTCCTTATATATTTTTCTTTATTTACTATATATAATAAAATTAAAGATATAGAGATATAAGAAAGAAAATTGATTTGGGAACGCGATGAGCAAACATACCAAAGGGTATTGGACTTCTGGAGACCAAAGCAAACAGTAAACCTTACACCTGAGGGGGCTCATATTTCGATATTGTTGCCTGGAATCCAGTTCTAGTTGATCCTTGGAGAACTTGGGAGCAAGAGAACTCCTGGAATAGTCCATGCATTTTTTTTTCGTATTCAGTACAGCTACATACAATAAGACAAAAATGCAAATTCTTAAACTTACAATTCTTTGGCTGAATCCAAAATAAATATATATATAAATAAATTAAGAATCTGTTTAGTTCATGTAGTGGAATATAATCAAACCAAATAAAAAAATACAACTGAGAAGACAGTAGTATTATTTTAACCATAAATTATTTAATAAGCAGTAAATTACAAAACAAAAAACAAATTGTGTGATGAACTTTTAGATCTAAGATTTTGAGAAATTTAATAAGAAACTATTTAATTTTTGATTCCTATAGCGCCTCTGCTCAGCCTCTACTGGTCTCTAATACCAGTAATATGGCTGAATGAAAGGCGCTGGGATCTCCTAGAAGTCCTGCTTTTCCTTCAACGAGTGGTGAGAAAGGCTTGGCTCAGAGATCTTGGGTGAATGATTTTTTTTTTTAGATATTGTATAAAAGCATGTATGTATTTGAGTTGTTACTTTCATTAGCTTAGTCGCTGTTTGTTTAGTTTAGTTTCTATAAATTTACTTTTAGTATTTTTATTTTTTTGTTTTATTTATTTTTATTTATTGTGAATGTGCTGTTTGAACACTATATAAATGTCGTTCATTGTGACAGATTGTAATAACTCTCAATAGATAAGTTAGTAAAATGTTAATTTTTGATTCCCTTATTGCTCGACCGGCCGAACAACGACGCAACTAAAAATGTTGGGAAAATTTTTAATATAAGGAAACATTTTAAATGGATGGATAGAATTTCACACGGGTACAATGAGTAAAAATTATGTTACTTATATAATAAAAATAATGCTAATTCATTTGCATCCACCATTGAATTTTATGGATTGAAATTACGTTAATGTTTCACATAATGAAAAGCTTCAGGTATTTATTACATATTTCTTGGGCTATTTCAATTAACTGGAAAGCATGGAGGAGAATATTCGAAATTTTTATGAAAAAAGGAATTTTAATAAAAAGAGCAAATTAGTGCGTTTTTTTTTTTTTTTTTTTTTTTGATAGGTATGAGAAGAAAATATTTTTTTTTTCTGAAAATAATTATATAAAATAATTTTTGCATGGTGAAGAAAGAATTTTTATTTAAAAAAGAATTAAACTACACGGACATCACAATGGACTTATCAATGACATGGCCACGGCTGAAATGCTCATCAGGAGGCGACTGAAAAGGAGCTGGATGAGAGATCTCCTTTCCTGATTTTAGGATGTAAACAGGCCAGGGAAGAGGTGCTGCTGGGCTCTGTTCTTCGTCATGTCTATCCTGCCACTATCAACTTCTCAACAAATCTGCTTTGTCAAAAAAAATTTTGTTTGTGATTTCTGTTAGTTAAGATGTATAAAAATGAACGTGTGTTAGTTCATACAGTATATGGATTGCATTTTTTTATATTCTGAGCCCTCTGTGAATTAATGAAGTGTGCCTTTTTTAATGGTTAGTTAAAAATTTAATATCAATTTAATGCATTAAAATTTTCAACTAAAAAAAGTATATATATGTTTTTTTTTTTTAATTTAAGAGTATACAAATCTTCTCCAGAATTCAATAGGCTACAATAATTTTCCAAGAGGCCGACAAACGAATTTAAAACGTGAGCTGGAGGCGATTTAATGCCCATTCCAGTGGCCACACTGGAGACGTTTTATACTGCCTCTAAGCTCTTCCAGATTTATTCGAAAACTGCAAAAGATTTAGCACGTTCTGCCGTTTTCTTCTCTTCCTCCATGGTTATAATCTTTATAACAAATCTTCCTCAATTTTTATAATCTGGTTAATTCAAATAAGTTAATATTTTAAAATTTACAGAATAAAATATAATATGCTAATATATTCTAATTTAAACAACATAGATTAAGAAAAAATATCTTGCCAATGACCTCAACGTTCTTTACTTTGTCACACATAAAATCATCCATGTTAAATCAACAAATTAAACTGTTGTATCTATTATTCAAACCACAATACAAATTCCAATTAAGACAGGAACTTTCTATCTACACTTACTTACTAAAACCGATTTTGTCTTACGCGTCTGGAAATTTCTGATCTTCCCAAGAGACACACAGACAAACATTTCAATCCACAGGCAGATCTACGGGAGGGCTTCCGGGCTGAAGCACCCCTCTCCCCCCCCCCAAATGTTAAAATATAACTATGCTTTACAGAAAAAAATATTAAAAACTATCTCTTAAAGTATTCTTGTTAGTGTAATTACATTTAATAGGACTCCAAGAACCACTTAATCACCATTTCATACAGGTAGTTAATTTATTTCTTTTTTTCTAATTATTTTTATACATATATGAAAAAAAAATCCTTCAGGCTGAAGCTCCCTCCCCAAAATTAAATCCTGGATCCGCTAGTGTTTCAATCCAAAATACTTAGTCTTTTTACAAAAGTCCCTAGATATGTTTCTAACCAAACTTTACATACTGACTTAAGAATGCCAAAAGTCAGGGAATACATAAGGAATCACTATAAAAGATTACAGAGACATAACAATGAACTAAAAGACCTGAAAAGGTCCTGGATGAGAGACTTTATATAAATTTATTTTATTTACATATGTATATATAAATAAGGCACGGAAGAGATAATGTTGGTTATTTTCCATCCTGTCTGAAGTGCCAGTATTATTGTATTACTGATTTCACACGCAATTCAATGATTGACAATTCTGTATAAGAAATTTTTGAATAATTAAATAAAGTTTAAAAAAGTAAGTAAAAATCAGACTAATGATTTAATATTGACGAATATATTGTTATATTCCAGGATGGTCCCGCGAAGCAAGAAGGCATTCTTTCCGAGAATAAATTAGTACTATAATCAATGTTGAACAAGAACAATAAGTTAAACAGAAGAGGGAATGTAATCGGAGTTAAGTTTATTAATGAAGCTCTAAGTTCAAGGGTGTTCCGGAGATGTTTAATAAACAAGCGGGAGGATTAAGGCAACTAATTAGCGAGTCTAAACATTCCAGGATATTCTCTGGAGAACGTCTGGGGTCAGCTCCACGAACTGGAAGCCCGTCGGCCTACTGGATTGGAAGAGTGATCTTTCAACGGTCCCACGATTGGCTGGATTTCCACCAATGGATACACTCCAAGCGTGATCTGCTACAACATTTCTACTTCGGTGCTTCTGCTAAAGGTCAATTTTCCAAGAGGCTACGAAATCTCAAATCAAGCAGGTGGATGTTATATGTTTGAAATTAAACATAAGTCATAATTACATAGATATAAATATAAAATAATAGATTTAATTATAATTATATAGATATAAATATAATTCATACAATAGACTATGAAAGGCTCATTTCGGTTAAACGCATTAAAAAAAAATTTTATTTTTATTTTGAATTAAAAATTTGTACTATGGCTTATCTATAAATAATAATATGTAGTAAGTAGCGATGTTGAATCGATATCTACCCGCATATTATTTATATAGATATAGAAATTCGACTATCCAAAACGATATTTTTTATTAACCAGATATAAATGTAGAACATTAAATTAAATTTTCAATCTGCAAATTTCTTTGCAACTAGCAATTTTTTTTGCAGCTTCACACCTTTCTGTCACATCCGGAATATAACTTAAATCAGAAGGTCTCTTATCCAACGCCTACGTAATCGTCGTGGTGGGCTGTACGGGTTTTCTGTACGATGAAGTATTTCTGTCAGAGGATTCATGTAGTACGTCATGGTGAAAGTTATTGATAAAAGAAAAAAAAAATGCCTGTAGATCAGGTAACAAACCCAAAGGACGAAAACAACATTTTACAGGTGTTGTGGTGTGCCATATTATCCCCTTTTAAAACATTCTTAAAGTTTATATTATAGCTATCGAGTAGTGCTCTAATAATCAATACATATCATTTAATATTATCGGTATATCTAAAGCTTTCCTGTGAAATCGAATACTGTATGAAGATAGTTCGAAACAATACTAAATACTTTAAGTGATATTTGACTGAGACATCACAAAATTTATTTATAAATATTTATAAAAAATATTGTAGGAAATCCTTTTTTTTATTTATTACAATATAACAATAAGTTTACATAGAAACGATTTCATCTTTTTTTATTTTAGACAGAATATGACGAAAACCTTTCAGCACACCTTGTAACCCTAAATGGGTTCTCTAATTGATTTTATTCGTTGGAAGGGAATTGGAAAAGACACAAGAAATGAAAATGAATAAAACAAAATGAGCCTGGACAAAATGGAACAAACAAAATAATGAATGGTTTAAATAAAATAAAATAAAAAATAGAGAGGGAGAGAGAGAGATAATTATAACCTCAATTAAGCACATTAAAAGTATTCATTAAAACAAAAATAATATACTCAAATCTGCAAAATATGTAGCATAATATTAAAAATAATTTTATGGACGACATGATAAATAAAGCATGGAATTTTTGTACGGATTTTTGGAATCAATAAACTACCCAAGCAAATAAACAGTAAAATTTTCATCTTTCAAATAAAAAAAAAATTAAAAAAGAAAAAAATAAAGAAAAAATTACATAGCAGAATATATCGTTCATTCAGTAGAACAACGACGTAACAGAAAACCAATTAGAAATATTATTATATAAATAATATCATTTTTAAAATTGGTTGTACAATTGTAAAATTCTTTTGTTCATTCAAATCTGGGTTGCATTATATTCTGAGGTTGATAAGATTAAATACGTTTTTCTGATAATTCAACCTGATAAAATATCTTTCAAAATCTCCTGAATAAAATTAAATAAAATCCTGAATTCTGCCGGGTAAGACAAAATGTCTACGTTATTTAAATTTAGTACTCTTTGTAATATGCGATTAAATGTTAGGACAACATTTATGTTTTTAAATAAACAAAATAATGTAATACAATTGAAATTGATTTATACGAAAAATTAATAAGTTTAATTGTTGAATACTTTGAGTATATATTAATATTT